CGCCGACGCGCTGGCGGCACCACGCCGCCCGCTCTGGCGCTCTCTGCACCAGGGCCATCATCGTTTCTCCTTGCCTGGAGCCGGCCAAAACGCCCCCGGACAAAGGCGTAGCGGCGCTCGGTTGGCCTCCCGCCGTCTCTCCCGGCCTCCCCGGCCGGCGCACCTCCTTGGCCAGAGCTAAGGTTCGCCATCCTCGAGCCATGCCTCGAGCCTTGCCTCGTTTCCCTTGCACTGGGTAGCTCCATAGTGAAGTCTGAGGAAAAATAACGCTGTGCTACATCATATTAGCTCCCCAACTACCCTGCTGTTCATGGCAAGCCATCACCTCGGACACCTCAAACACTACCCGACAGCTAGAGGTGTTTCCACGGCTTGCTACAACGCAGCGTAAAGACAGATGGGAGATACGGTGACCAAACAGTTAATCACGGGGCATTTTTTAAATCAATAATTGTTCTTTCTATGGTTGATCTGAATAGATGCCTAATTAAAGTCATCAGCCTCTCTTCTCAAAGCTGTCTGCAGCATTAATTGCTGCCTGTGAAACAGCAAGCAGGGGCTAAGGGAGGGGGCACGCTAAACAGGAGGCTTTGACAAACACAGTGCTTAAACACGCTGCACAGCAGTTTCCTCCACGATTTCATGACATCAAAACCCCAGGAGCAACCCAAGAACGACCTTCCAGCTTTCCTCCCCCAGGACTTCAATGCACATGGCCATCCTTCGAAACAGGGGTCAGACCATAAACTTTTCAGGCCAAGCACTGACAAGCTTGCACCAAAGTCTACCTCCACATTCCTATATTCAGATCTGTGACTACCCAAGTCAAAAGGTCTGACTGTTTAACTCCTATCACGGCACCTGATTGCAGTAAACACAAAGAAGGCAACAAACTACCTAAGGGGAAACTAATATTTTAAAAAGAGGAAAAGGAACCTGCTAGTGAAGTTTGTTATAGGTCAATTTTGGGACTGAACTTTTTTTTAATACTTGTGTTAGTGAACCAGACCAACATTTGCATCCTGTGATCCCTTATCCCCTGCATGGCTGTGCAGTAGTCACTTCCAAATATTCTATAAAAAGGTAACCAAGAAAAGGCAAGCTCCATGTCAGCGATCTTAGTGCCCCTACCTGAGCCAAAACGGTTTTCTAGGATCTAGAAGTCAGGGGGAAACAAGTTTGAAAACCACCGACGCAGGCCAAACAAGCAGAGCGTGGCGCCGAACAGGCGGGTGGCACCTTCCAGGAGGGGAAGGCTGGAACGCTTCAGAGTGAGTTGGGTGGCCTCCGAGAACAAACTCCAAAGACACGCATCCAGGGATGAACAACCAACAAACCTTCAACTAGGAACCAGACGTTCGTCGCGCTCAACGAAGAACAATTTCAAGACCCTAGCTGATCGCCAGAGACCTGCACGCCGCCCAGCACAAGCGAACAGAAAATAACCGCACCCACAGGGCGTACCCAGAGAGGCACTGCCAGCAGGACAGAAAAATTACTGCCGTTGTTCAAAAAGCTTGATGAAACTGCTTGGAAAAGCTAGTAGTTTTTGTCAGAGCACAATTATATTCCTTTATACAAAGGAAAGGTTAAATTATCCATTACATAAGCACACTGCAGGCAATCCTTTGCCATTCAACAGACCTACTCCACATAACTTTCCTTTGTGCTAGCTTTCTAGAGTAAAATCCTGTCAATCGCCTCTTAAACAGGCTTTTACAAGAATATGAACGTCTGAGCTAAAATCACTTTTCCTCTTCTCTATTCTATCTTAGAGGAAACAGTTACATATACAGAAATCCAAAGCAAGAACGCCTGAGAAAGTTACAAAAAGGCAGGAGTAGGCACGAGTATCCTCTCGTTGTCTTCAATTCTCTCCACGCTAGGAGCTATCAAGGACATTGAATGCAAAAACCTGCATTAGTTGAACAAAATCCAACTCAAACACAAACAAAAGTAGCTGAACACATTAAAATTAGAAAAGTGAAATAAACACAACAAAATTAGTTGAAAGTAGCATAAACTCAACTAGACCATGCTCACCATGCGACTGCGCCAGTGCAACTGTACTGGGCCAGCGCAGCGAGGGAACCTGATCTCCAGCATCTCAGGAGCATTCAGCCTTCACGTGCATTATGAATATTTTTCACGTCTATGCAACCTGTCAGTTTAAGGTTCCCAAAGCACTCCATAAACACTCCAGTCTGGAGAAGAATAGAACTAACCGCAGTGATTACTGGAAGAGAGAAATTACAAAGCAATACCACAAGTGAATTGAAATGACCAGAAAGGGACATGCTGCCTAATCAGAAACAGACTGTCTTTATGCGCTAGATCCGGTCACACTATCTTTCTCTACCTATTGTAATAAGAATAAAGACATTTATTTTGTGAGGAGGATAATATTTAATGGACATTGTGGCCTATAAATGAACAGAACTAGGGAGGTGCGAGGCATTCTGCTGTCGTCCTCGGCACCGAAGGTGCTCCCAGAGCATGGGAGGTCACAGTGCCGACGATTCCAAGAATCGTGGGCCAAAGAAATCCCCAAGCTAAAAACATTACTTCTTGCAACTTTCTCTCATTCCTCTACGAGGATTTTGCCTTCCTTAGGGCTCCCTATTTTGTTCAGGCTCACAAGACGTGACTCTCTTCTTTCTCCTCTAAGTTGTATTAAATCAAAATTTTCCCCTTATATAAAAATCAATCAAGTGTTTTTAAACAGAGACGGAAATATACTTCTGGCTTAGGAAGTCCCCAGCCATACCTTGCAGGAGCGGGGAGGTTATATTGGAGGAAATATCACTGTATTTTACCTCGTTCTAATATTGTTCTAATATGTTCTTCTTGACAGCCGCTACAGGCCACTGTTAGGACAGATTCCTGGCCGAGAGGGACCTTTGGTCTGGCCCAGAACAGACACTCCTACGTTCTGTGCTGTGTTCTTTTCCAGCATGAACAACATCCACTCAATTTTTTTCTTTTTAACCAAGGTCCACGGGATTTCACCCATGAGGAAGCTCTCTACAAGGCTCCACCTCTGCAAAACCAGACAAGCCCTGATCACTCCCTTCAGAACTGGGAAACGCAGCAGCACACTTTAACATCGCCAGGAGCCTCGAAGATTGGTAAGTACCTGCTTGCAGAGACCTGAGCACAGTTTAGTCTCAATCCCAATCAGAGCTGGAGGTTGCCATTTGTCTGCCCTGGAGCAGCAGCAACAAACAAGCCAGAGAGCTCTGTCCAACTAGCTGTCACGTAACGCAATGTCTTTCCTGCTCACCTGGAACTGCAGGGGCAAGAAACCCTCCAACTGGGGCAGGAAAACAACTGATATAACTTCTGAAGCCCTTGGTCCCAACAGTTGTGCAGGTGCTTCTGCAGCTCATGAATTATCCACCATAGGGCTCAACAACCTCGAATGCACGTGGTATCAGAAGACTGCCAAGGAACTCAGAGAACCACACACCAAGTAACAAAAAAAACACCGACAGTGTTAGGGTATGGGAGGAACCCCAGGGAGAAGTATTAATTTATGCTGCTTTCACAAATTTAGTTTAATACAAAAGAAAAAAAGATTCTCACGATTAAAGGACAGGACAGATTCATGAGATCTGGCTTCTAAATGTCAAAGTTTCGTTTTAGCCACAGAAACAGCTAGTTGCCACAAGAAACTATCAACACAATCCTTAACTAAGCAGAGGGCTGAGTCTTCTAGCACAAATATTTGAAGGGTGCTAATCTCAACATAGCAAGGCTGTTATTTAGATTAGTAGGAGAGGCTAGCATGATAAGCAAAAATATCAAATTAAAAAAAAAAAGTAAATAAAACTGTCTCACTGGGAAATGGATCTGGCCACAGAACTTCACGAGGACTTCAGAAAATCCAAAAGGGTGATCGGTTCTGCAGTAGCCCCTGGGAATGGGTGACACAAGACATTTTTCTCCTTCTCAAAGGATGAGAAGTTATGACTCCGTTCTTCCTACAGAGCTCTAGAAATAACAGGTTATATGCTGAAACAAAAAACAGTAAATATCAGGAAGGATTTCCTCTTAGCAAGATCAGCTGTAGCTAGAAGAGTATTTTATCATTTAAAAAGAAAATTAGAAACGTTATGCCACTAAATTCTCCCTCTTCCCCAGTCCCACAGTTTTCCACGTTAAGCCTCAAGTGCAAGGGGAATTTTTCCCCCCATTTTTTTTCCTGAAGTCTCCCTGCAAAGCCAGTTCTACTGATCGACTACGCAGCTAGTACTCTAGCCGTGAGCGCTGTCTGACAACCAGCCGGCAAGCGATCTGGGCACTACAACCTCCTTGAACTCCTATTGCCAGCATCAGTGAAAGGACTTGTATTAAACTGACCAGTTTCCCCTTGGAGGGGCCCACAAACACAGCGGTGGTGGAAAATCAAACCTGGCGAATGAATCACCATGAAGTAGTACACAACGAAGACGTTTCCATTAAGAATATATATTGAATTGTAAACATCTGCTTACAGACTAGTCATTCGAAAGCTAAAAACAGTTATGCAAAATGTGGGAACATTTTACATTGGAAACAAGACTATATGATTAACCCCAAGGACTGAAGGACAATTACTCAGCAGAAATTTTAAGCTTTCACAGTCTACATAAAAGCTGCAAAATAACTTACAAAGGAAAGGGAAGCAGCCTCAATTTCAGGTCACTTAGAGCGAAATTAATGCGTGAGGGAACACTGAAGTTACCTGCCCTAACATGAACACACTTGCAGCAATCAAAGGACACTTCCTCCTTACAACTACAATGCCATGACTGGAACCTACCATCATTTTCAAAAGAGCCTCTTAAAATAAGCAATACTACAAAAGACTAGATCTATGAGAAACAGTGATGACTGCTAAA